AAAACCACAAATGCTTTCTAAAGTGCTTGCCAAATGATTTTTTAAAAAATATATTGCCATGAGTAATCACAAGTAATTTACTGTTGCAGAGATATCTAAATAACCTTAGTCTAGGTTAATCAACAAGGAAGCTATCTCTTTTAAGTTTTTTTTCATTTATATGACATTGAAAAGAAATTCAGAATGCAGGTGTTCATTAAATTGCAAAAATAACAAGCTCTGTGAAATCCCAGTTGTGCTTCCAAGAGGTCAGAAAGGTTTTAGAATTGACATAAGGTGACAAACAAGTTAGAACCAAGCCTTGTCACTGGCACATAACCAGAATTTTTAGTTTGTTTTATGCATATAATCTAGATCTGAGGTAAATACTGCGAGTGTAGATGCAGCTAACTCTGTTTTGTGATAGTTCGCTGAATCTATACAAATAAATCTGATCTGCATGTAAAGGATCTGACAGAAGGAACTAATCATTTTCAGGACACATTGATATATTCGCTAATTCACTTATACACATTCCAAAGACTGTTCAAGAATGTACCCTTGGCCTGCAATACAATGTGAGAAATCTTTAATAGATATTACTCATGCCATTTATGAAACAAGGTTCACTGGAATCCACAAAACCTCTTTATGACTATCAATATGAAAGCCCAGTGAGACAGGCAAGGAGCCTTTTAGGCAAATCTATAAACCACGGGTGTCAAACTCGCCATGTCACGTGATGTATTGTGATGTATCATGACTCTTTTTGCATTGCTGGCAATGGGGTGGGCGCAGCTTCGGTATGATGAAACCGGCCCATGGGCTGGCAGTTTGACACCCCTGCTATAGACCATTTATGTTCTTTTACTCAAAAAATCAGTAATAACATATTCTGGAAGCCTGAGAACAAAGTCCAAGAATTTGCCAGTTAGCAAGTTGCCAAGTAGAAAAAATATTGATATATTATGCTAGTCTATGTGTTTGATTAGGGCTAAGTGTTTCTATGAAATGTATTTATTATGGTTTGAAAATCCTGACTAAATGTCTTAGCAAATCTATCATGGACTAAGTTACTTTGTGTAAAAGACAATTATTATAGAAAGCAATCTCAACAGTGATGACAATTATGAGTCTATACTGCATACTTATATGATAGTTTATTAATTAAACTTGTGTACAAAATCTAAATATGCAGATCAACCAAGCAGAGTATTTACAATTTTACAAAATGTTTTACAAGAAACATTGCCTCTAAATAAAATGACACACAATTAATTATTTTGCATTACATACATAAATACTGACTTTTAAATCAGTTATAAAAATGTAATTTCTACAGTCAATTAAGTTAGCAAATAGGTGGCCCGGTTTTCTTTATGCTACAATATAATTACATAAAAGGGAAGAGTATTTTTACATATAGATCATCTATTAATTATTTTTTAAATTGTACCTTACCATTATATTCAATAGAGGTAAACAACCATGCCTCTAATTGAATTATGATTTTTGGCATGCAAAACCTAGATCGAACAACATCTGGAGGCATTATTTTTTAAAAAAATAAAGTTTGAGGTCTTAAAAAACATGCAATCATTAAAAGCGTATTTCTGGAGTACAATGTACAACTGTATATGACAGTGGTGGCAAACCTATGGCACGCGTGCCAGAGGCGGCACTCAGAGCCCTCTCTGTGGGCACACGCGCCGTCGCCCCAGTCCCACCTCCCCCCATGGCCCCCTCCTCACCAGTAGCCCCCCCCGGAGATTCGCCCCCAAGCACGGCCCACACAGAACAGAGCAGCCAAGGACATGGTGGCGGGTAGCAGGGACAAGACTCCGCCCTCGCGCTCCATCGCACGCAGATGATGCTGTGAGGTGCGGACAGAGGGTATGGCTGCCATGGCGCTGCTGGGCTGCCTGGGCGATCTGCAGCGGGCCATGGAGACGATGGGTGGCTGGGTGGACGAGGCAGAGTGAGGGTGGGCAGGGCAGGGGCGGGGCCAGTTTTGGGGCACTCGGTCTCTAAAAGGTTCGCCATCACTGGTATATGACATTTATAGTTATATGCCCACAGGTATTAATCAAAATAAATACATTATTATCACAACTGCTTTTATATGTCCTTTTTAAAAAATAAGAGGAAATAAAATGAAGTTGCTAATTTCCATGCTTACATTTTTTTTGAAGATTAATTTGTAATTAAATCCCATTCCTGCATAAAAGAGCACTAATATAGTTTGATAAATCTTAGTGATTTCAATATAATTGTTTTTAAAATCTGATTAACAGAAACTAATTAATAGATTTTTCCGATATATTTCCCACATACATATATAACAACTGTTTTCAACTGAATGAAGAAACAGATTGCGCCAAATAGTATTGTGTTGGCAGCATTTGACAATTTCTGCTTTTTAAGCAATCAAGTCATTGAAAACACTGAACTAATTTATAAAACATACTGTGGACACCTAAAGTCAAACTGGTCTTATTTAGATCAAATCTTTTGATTTAATAAAATCTTTGTGAAGTTTTTGTTTTTTTTTGAAGTTAGAAAAATAAAAACATTGAAAATGAATATACATAGACTATTTCTTGATAACTTGAATCTTTTTTTAAATGTCTTTTCATTATTTGGTGCCATTATCTAAACCAGGGGTGTCAAACTCAATTTCATTGAGGGCCGCAGCAGCATTGCAGTTGCCCTCGGGGGGGGGGCAGGGGTGTGTGGCCTACTGGGTGGGCATGGATAGAGTGGGTGTGGCCTACTGGGTGGGCATGGCCAGCTCTACATCGTTCATGTCAAGGGTGTCTGTGGGGACCTGGGCAGGAGTGGGACAGATTTGAGGGTCTCTGGTAGAAGGGGGTGGGACCAGGGCAAGCGCTAAGGTATGGTCCATTTCTTCATTCCTCACAAAGGGTGACACCTCCCCAGCATGCACCCAGAAGGCGGAGCCGATACAGCAGGGGCTGGTTCCTCGCTGTTTCTAGACGGCCTTGTGGAGCTAAGACTGAATGCGTTTCAGCATAGATGGCCACCACAAAATTGTACATTGGCTCCTGGCCGGCCTGGGCCAGGGCCAAGGCAGCAGGGGCCATTCCCTCGCTGTTTCCAGGATGGCTTCGTGGGCCACATGAAGCCACTTCGCGGGCCGCATCTGGCCCCCGGGCCTTGTGTTTGACATGTCTGATCTAAACGGAAACCAGTCCATATTGTATATAGACTCTTAAGCATATTTTATGCATGCAAGTCTTTACAGATATTGTAGCAAGTAATGAATATGTGCAAATCTTCTCTACTTGTATCTGCATATTCAAGCTATCAAACATAATGTCAAGGTTCTGACAGACAGAGACAAATAAAGCAGAACTCCAAGGCTTGGAAATTCTTCATTTTCCCTATTCAGTTTTCGTTGACACATATGCTCACAAGAACCATAAATTTTCTGAAATAATTCAAAGTCATTGTTTTCTTTGCTTTCCTGTATGCTCTTCAAAAACATTTATTTGGCCTCTTTTTTTTTCTTTAAGAAAGCAGGATATTCTTAATCTTATTTATGAAAATAAAAAATCATATGTATTATGATTGATTAAACATGTATGCAAAAAACTGTGACTACCCTTTAATTTTCTACTCCAGTGGCTATGAACAGCATTGTTTTTCCTTTAACTTGATATAAATCAAAGCATGTACTGGAGGGATAATGTTTCTCTAAGAATACAGGATGCTAATTTTTTTTCTAATGAACAAGAGAAAAGAAAATTAAATCTAAAAACATGTGGTAAATATTTAGTTAATAAAGTTGTCCATGAAGTTCCCTATACTTCATTGTTTAATTCAATAAAGTTTTGTTTAAAGTAGAGATGCAGGAAATTTTCAGATTTAGCTTAATTCAATTGATGTCGTCAATATTTTATTATTTAATAAAATAACTCTGACATCATGACTTGGTCAACACGTGCCCTACAATCTTCTCCCTGTATGAGGATTCAGTTTTCCTGAGTAATCAGATAAACATCCTTCTATTTGCGCAAAGATATTCCTATAGTGAAATGAAAAACAAGCTCCTTCTGAGTGGGACATCCATATTGTTGGATGCAGAGAAATATCTTTATTGGTGGTCAAATACTGAAAAGAGTAACTATAAAATGTCTAGTTTCTCTTCCTTTCTGACATAACTTTGCAGTATCAATTGCTTCTTCTATAGAATTTACATGTTGCCAGCTGGAATTCCTTTCTGCTATCTTGTGGTAGTGTACAAAAACCTCTTCTGCTATTCTTCCCTCCATCTTCCTTCACTTGTATTAATTTTCACCACCATCACCACCATCACAATTCTATAGTAGGCCATTATTTGTATAAATAAAGTGTGACTGTGAGATACCAAGAGGGTGGCAACAGATGATGGTAGAAAGGAGACTCCCAGGAACTAGCATGAGGCAATTCCTGTAATGAGAATGGGAAGTGGTAATGAGAAAGAAGAAGTCCAGAAGAAATACTGGAAAACTGTTTTGGCTTCCTATGTTTCAAAATGTCATGGAACAACTTACAGCTCCCAGATGTAAAAGGCCCTAGACCTCACATGACAAACTACTTCTAAAATAAAAGTCTAGTTCAAAGAACTTAACCTCAACCCTAGCTTATATTCATCCATTTTGTAATGTATTCAATGATATTAGTAGCATCTAGCTATGAGACAGACGTTATTTACATTTCAATTAGTGTTGTAGTGTTAATTTAAGTACTACATCTGGTTTCAGTTCCCAGTCTGAAAAAAACAACAACAGTTTGATCATTGTTCTTCATAACTTGGGAAAAACAATCTCCACTTAAACTCTCATGTCTACTTCATGGGTACAAGATAATGTTTCTTCCTCAAATGGACAGGAATCTTTCTCCATTTAATGGGATTTCTGAAAGCAAATTAGGTAGAATATTGAAATTCTACTCAGTTACTAAATAGATATTATTAGGTCATGTGACTATGTATCATGAAATGGACAGGGATTGTTATGTTTTTTCTGTATCAGCCACAGATAACCTAGGTTTAAATGCATGGTTTACATCTGTTTAAAAAGCTATGTAAAGATATTAATGAGAAGTGATAAAACAGGTGTTGTGTAGCATACGCTACAGTAACAGGTAATTGCTATAATTATATATGTGAAAATATTTACATTTTCATAGATATTGATTGTTCTGATAATAGAAATACAGCTGATCCTCACATTATATACTGTAATGTATACCAAAATTAGTATAAACATGCTTTCTTCAATCATTCCATATAGATTTATACACAACTCATACTTGGTAAACATTCATTAAAACAATAGCTTATTCCACAATTCAATAAAGATGGATTTTTCTGGTCTTTCAAGAACTTCTTTGCATTGTTTTCCAGCTGGTTAATAATTTGTGGCAACTTAGTATTTTTCAGGGGGTGGTTTGTAGTGACATGGATGGTGCTGCTTCTGATGAGGTCCTAAAAAGAAAAAAAAATACTATAACCCTAGTTCATAATTACTAGTTGTTGGCAATCCTTAAATCCCTGCAGATTTGTCCCACAACAGTACAACATTGTTATTTTTCTGGCCAAAACAATATTATTCTGTAGTCCTGTGACTTCTATTAACTTCCAAAGCAAATCAACTAAATCTTTTGTTTGACTCCAGCCCCCCAAAAACTCCAAACTGCGGGCTACTTGGTGTTCCTTGCCTATTCCCTATAAATCTGAGCCAAAATTTTCAGAATGACTGAAGAAACCTGGATAATAATACAATTAGAGCACTGGTTTCTGATTGATCAGGGATCAATTATATTTGTTTTCAATTCCCTTATTTCTTCCTTTCCTGCTTTTGCCTGTGTATTCATTTTCGGGGCCTGCCATTCTATTGGGGGAAGGGTGTTTGCATAGGGGAAATAGTTGCTTTGCTTTGTTCTGTGTGAAGTGCCCTCCTTCGGGGTGTGAGGAATGTGACCTGAAAACATCTGTCTATCAGAATCCAGTTATATTTCATTTCTATCTATTTTCTCTGATATAAAACCAATTCTTACTCTCTCATGGATTCTGTCATACTACTAAGGGGGAGGGGGGTATGCATGCAGTTTTTTATTACTTTCACTTCCTCTATTCACTAAAAGTAACCTTTTGTTGATTTGCTTAGGATCTGCTAACCATAACAATGTAGCCATTTGCCTTTCATCCTATGCTCCTCTGCTCCTGAACTTCTCCTCCTTTACCGGCCAGCGAGGGAAAAGGGGGGGGGGAGATGCAGCATCTGGGATCTGTGTGAGGAGATGTTGAATGATCGTGTCAACGGAGCAGGACTGATGTTATCTCTCCTGGAGTTGACACCTAGAAATCTGTCAGTTTGAATCGGCCGGAAGAACTGCAGGGTGGGGGGGGGGGCTGCTTAGGGACATTTTAAAACATCAAATTGTAAGGGAATCCCTCAGATCCTGTCTATCATGCCCACTATCAGTTTCTTTTAATAAAAGTTCCTGTTGGAAGAGACCGTTTCCAAGAGTTCTGCTTTCTTAAGATTGAAGTGGGTCCTTACATTAGACAGGATTGGCAGTAATAGTCAACCTGGAAGGGAGAATCTTACCAGGGAACTTTGAAAAAAATACAATGGCAGACGATGAGGCAGGGAAGGGAGAAACCCCCACGGAGAGGGAGCCTTTCCCCCGACTGAAAACCTGCCAGCTGTCGGGATCTGAAATGTCATACTCCTTAGGAGAAGAGGTGGTGGAGATGCGTAACCACAAACCTCGGTGGTCAATGGGCGTTGGAAAGAAAGGCAAGTGGGAAAAGAGATCAAGAAAGGTGACCCTGAGACGGGGGGCCAACCAACCAGAATGGAATCAGGAGATGGAGAAATCCCTGCACGTGAGCAAAGAGGAAGGAAGTTGGGCACAGCACTTTAACTGGATCCTAGAGAAAGCTATCGACCTGATGAAAAGAACCCTTGGCTCCCTAGGGGAGGAGAATTCTGAGCCCCCCGGCTGCACCAGCACCTGGAGCTGCAGCTGGAGGGACACTGAGGGGGAATTGGAACCTGCAGTCCCAGGGACGTCCGCTGATCCAGTAGCGACCACTTCAGCAGCCCCCACCCCCCACCAACCCGCAGATGGTGATCCGGATGGAAGACAATACCACCGACGGTGATGGCACTGATCCATTCAAAGACTCCCGCCACTGGACGCGAAATTCAAGGGGGAACTGACATGCTTGGGGTTTTTCCTAACCCAAGTCCTAAGCTACATGGAGGAATACGGGTGGCACATCCCTAGCGACAAAGCCCGTATCCGTATCGTGCAATCCGCCCTGGACAGACCAGCCGCAGATTGGGTGGTGAATTTACACAATTCCGATCCCCAGAGCTCAATGACTTCAACCGTTTCATGTCCTCTCTGAGAAGGCGATTTGAGGACCCCCTGGCTGATCGCAAAGCCCACAAAAAAATCAAAACGGTGAGGCAAGGCAGATGCCCGGTAGCCAAATATACGCAAGAATTCTGGGCCATTGCCAGCAAGCTGAACTGGCTGGAAGATATCCTCCTTAGCCATTTCAAAGACAGCCTAAATTACGACCTGAATGATGCTTGCCTGCCCCGGGGGGAGCCACACCAACTTGACGAGTGGTACGTCCTGGCAGAGGAAGCAGAGATCGACCTACTGAAGAGGCACTGCTGAGGAAAACCATGGGGCCGCTTGCCGCCTGAGCCGACGCGTGAGCCAGCGAAGCCACCGGCTATGGCCAAGAAGCCAATGGGCTGTTTCAAATGTGGGAGAGAGGGGCATTGGGCTGTAGAATGCCACTCGAAAGCCCCCCAGCATAACCCAGACAGATCACTGGTTAGTAAATCCAGGAAGTCCCCAGCTAAGCCAAAAGAACCCGCCATGAGAGCGATAGAGGCTGTGGAATCCCCAACCTCTGCCCAATGTGAGGAAGGGACTCCAGCATACACCGCAGGACCGGTGGACGCCTCAGACGACAGCTCGGAGGGTGAACCTCTGGTAAGTGGACCCATCACACCCATCCTCAAGACAGTGACTATATTAATTTCCTCCATGTCCGAAGCTGTCAAGGTGAAAGCCTTAATAGGCTCTGGCTGTACCTGCTGCCTCATTAGCCCAACACTAGTGGGGAATCTGGGCATTCCAGTGAGGAGGCTAGAACAACCAATCTCATTTGGCCAGTTAGATGGGTCCATAGCAGGTGCCAGCTACCCTAGCCACTTTACCAGTCCACCTATCCCTGGGAAACCATGAGGAAGAAATAACGTTCATAGTGACCCCAGGCATGGAATGCCCGATGACCCTAGGGCTGGAATGGTTTAAAAAATGGAACCCCTGGGTAAATTGGAGGACGGCAGAAATCAATTTCCCAAAGGGGGACCCTACGGACTTAAAACCCCAAGGGGATCTACCAAAATTAAGAACAGAAAAAGCATCCATGGGAGAAGAAACGGGGCTTCCCAAAATAAACAAGGAATACAGAGATCTTGCTGAAGTTTTCAGTGAGGGGAGGGCAGATAAGCTGCCCCCCCCACCAGCCCATGGACTGTGCCATAGAATTCAAGCCCAGGGCAAAACTCCCGAAGCCCAGACTATACTCCATGAGTCTGGAGAAGGAGGAAATGGAAAGATTCATAAAGAAAAACCTAGAAAGGGGGTTCATTGAACCTGCCAAGTCTAAAGTGGCCGCTCCGGTCCTCTTTAGAGAGAAGAAGGACGGCTCTTTACACTTATACGTGGATTATAGGTTCCTAAATACAATCAGTGAAAGCAACCTATACCCCTTACCCCTCATGAAGGACATGCTATCACACCTCTCGAAAGGATTTTTTTTTTTCTAAACTAGATCTAAGGGAAGCGTACTATTGCGTGGCGCCAATTCCTTGAAGGGAATAAGATCCCTTTTCAGGTGTGGACAGACCACAAAAATCTGGAAGCCTTGAAAACACTCAGGAAGCTCAACCCCAAGCAAGCTCACTGGTCCCAACATTTTCACCAATTCAACTTTACGCTCAAGCACTTGCCGGGGGGAAAGAACACAAAATCAGCAGGGCATTTTGGATTTGTAAAAACATTACACTTAATTAAAAGGCAATTTTGGTGGCCATCCATGAAAAAGGACATAGAAAGTTACATGGCCAGCTGCCCAATGTGTGCAACTGCAAAGAGATTGCAAGGGAAATCACCCGGACTGTTACAAATAGTGGCAAATCCCACAGCCCCCTGGAGGGAAATAGCCATGGATTTTATAGTGGAATTACCAGAAAGCAATGGGAATACTGTCATCTGGACGGTCACGGACTTGTTTTCCAAACAGGTGCACTTTATCCCTTGCCAAAAGATTTCCACCGCAAAAGCCTTAGCGAAACGTTTCGTGCAGCAGCATATTTACAAATTGCATGGGGCACCCCAACGCATCATATCTGATAGGGGAGTGAAATTTACGTCTGCATTTTGGAAAGAATTTTTATCCCTTTTAGGGACCACTTAGGGACTGACATCTAGTCATCATCCTCAGGGGAACGGTCAATCAGAGAAATCGAACTCAGTACTTGAGCAATATTTAAGATGCTTTATTAATTTCCAGCAGTCGGATTGGACGGACCTACTCCCTTTTGCAAAAGTTGCCTACAATAATGCAGTCCACTCCAGCACAGGTTACACTCCTTTTCAAATAGCTACCGGTCAAAGTTTCAACCCCATGCCAGAACTAATCCCAAACGAACCAGCAATCCCATCACTGAAAGAATGGATAGAAAAATTACAAAACACCTGGCCAATAGTTAGAAAAGCCCTAGACGAAGCTAGGCAAGCATACAAAGCACAAGCAGATTAAAAAAGAGTTGAACCCACACCATTCATTATAGGAGAAATGGTATATATTTGTCTACAAAATACCTAAAATCCCTACAACCCTGTAAAAACCTGGACCAAAATATATATTACCCAAAAATCTCAGGCAAATACACCCAATTTTTCACTGCAGTTTGCTGAAAAGAGAACAACAGTCACCCTTATGTCCAAAATTCCAACCACCACCACCTCCAATCATGGTGGAAGGAGAACAACACTTCGAAATAAAGGAAATCCTAGACTCTAGGAGATATCATGGGACAACTCAATACCTAGTAGCATGGAAACACCTCCCTGCCTCACAAAACAAGTGGGTCCATAAACGTCATGTCAGAGCCCCAAAGCTATTAAAGAAGTTTCATACAGAGTATCCTAACAAGCCAGACTAACTTTTATAACTGTTTTGTTTTCTTCATAGGTGGATCTCTCTTATTTTTAAGGGGGGCAGGATGTCAGAATCCAGTTATATTTCATTTCTATCTATCTTCTCTGATATAAAACCATACTACTGTCATACTACTAAGGGGGAGGGGGTATGCATGCGTTTTTTTATTACTTTCACTTCCTCTATTCACTACAAAGTAACCTTTTGTTGATTTGCTTCGGATA